TTGGCTAATACTGCATTCCTGTCAGGAGCATTCGATAAGCATTAAAAAGCATTATGATAAACATATCAAAAAAGCATTGATAAACATAACATTATCTATCTATGTAAAATGCTGCAGGATCCATAAAAGAATTCTTAACTAGTGATCTGGACTGGGTTTGAATTTAAAGATCAGAGTTGGGGGAAATATAAGACTTCAAACAAGGTATTACCAGCCAGAAGCTCATGTATTTAAGTAATAATAGATAGTACCTCATTCAATTTTGCACTGTACCATGGGGGAAAAAGAGAGAGACAGACAGAGAGAAAGAGAGGAACAAATTGTTCTACCTTATCCAAGAATCATTTCCTCCTCTGCACTGACTAGTAAGCTTCTAGTACCACCAAGTCCCTCCAATTATAAACAAGGCCACTTCCACAGACCACACTTAACACTAGGGCAGTGTTTTAAGACCAGCCAAAAACAGCCCCAAACCCTGCTGCCAAGGTCAATTGCTGGAGAGTCCTAATTGTAAGCTTGACATCAACTTACCACCCACAGAAGGCAGGAGGAGGCAAAAGGTAGAGCAGAAGCTTGTCAAAAAGCGTCATAAGCTGTGTGAGGCTTCGGAGAAAAGGCCCAATCACTGCAGCCAATATAGTGTTTCACTTGCATTTTAAAAAAAAACAAGTGGGGGCAGAAAGCAAATCATCACAAAGGCACCACCACCACCTTACCTTCTCTTGTAAGCATTGAAAGTCCTGTTTGTTAAAAGAAACTTTCTTGTCCTAAGGAAGGTTTGTATTGCTTAACCTCTCTTTTTTCTTTCTGAAATAAAATGACCTCATGCATGTTTCAAGTGGAATATGTGGAGATCTTTTTCACACCAGAGTTGTGTCAGAAAGTAATTGACGCAATCAGGAAGAGCTCTCACCATGCTGCTTTACATTTGTTTTTACCTTTTGAATTTAATCCTTAAAAATACCGGAAGACACTGTAGCTATTCATATGGAAGAATCTTGTCAGATATACCTGACATATTAAGAAAAAGAAATTTGCCTCAAGGACTGTTAGCAGCTGCAATGAGCAATTAAATCTTTTGGACAGTGGGAAGTGCTAATTATCAGTATGAAATGGTGGCTTTTAAGACAATCCCTTGTTATTATTTTGACCCATTAAATTGTCAAACTGATCACTGTTCCCCACTCTGGCCCTTCCTAAAAACTACTAAATTCTCTTTTGCAAATTTCTATAGTATCTAGATTTCATTTCAAGCCAAAAGATAACGAGCTTGATTTCATTATAAACCCCACCCAAGATGTAGGAAAATTTTCCCAACAAATCTTTGGGAATTCTTAGGTTATTTTTTTTATTATTATCATACCTTAAGATGCCTCAACTGGATATAGCTGAGTTTTTAAGATTTGTTCCATGCACAAACTGTTAACAGTCAGATATCCTCTATCAGTTTCTCACCTTTAAAAAGATTCTCCCTACCATTTTATATCCCCCAGTACAAAAATATAGGGAAAGAGATCAACAGTACATTAATGCAACACAATTTCCGTTCTTTGGGAAGTATTTGTTGTTAGATTTTTATCTTGTATTTGTTTTTATTAACTCAAAGTAGTGTCCATACCTAGTGGTCCTCCCTCCTATTTTTCCTACAACTCTGAGAGGTAGAATGGACCAAGAGAGAATGATTAGTCCAAAGTGACCCTGCTTGCTTTCATCCCTCAGGCAGGACTAGAATTCATAGTCTCTTGGTGTCTAGCCAGCACCTTAACCACTACACACCAGATTGACTCTATTATCAACCACGTGAGTTCAATTTCTTACAGTACTTGGTTATGTCTACCTCTCAGGGTTATTCTGAGATTACGAATTGAAGAAGAAACAAAGACTGCTTTCATACAGCACATAGAACCCTCAACCATTTACTAGCCAGAATATTGAGGAAGTTCAGTTTGCAAAGGCACATGCAAACTAACCACATTAAGGCTTGGCAGCATGCTGTGTAAACCCAGCCAAAGTATTTTCTGATACTGTACTGTCAAAGTAGAGCAGCTATTCCACAACTGTTACCACCCTTCAATAATTCTGCCATATTAAGTGCTGCAAACTTTTAACTACACAAGATGATTGATTACGTATCTGAGTATTAGCTAATTTTTTGGCAGAAGGGTTCCCATAATCTTGGACTACTGGTCATATTGGTTAAAGCTAATGTCCAAAATATCTGGACATTTTTTTCTTTCTTCTCGAGCACATTCCTTTCAGAACTGGAATGGACAGAGAACCACAGTGGGGTTCAGACAGTGTTTTGTTGCATACGAATTCAGCCAGAGAGATTAACGAAACTTGAGAGATCAAGTACCTTGCTCAGTGCAATGATTTAATAGGTTGGGTAGGCTGAACTCCATCTTCTGCAATTTTCTGTTACCTGGGAACTGGCCCAATTTATTTGAAGGGCATCAAATGCAATCTTTTTTTTTTAATGTTTCTGCAGCATCGTTGGCTTATTTTCTGTTCAGAACATTCATTCAGTGAACCTTCAGCAGCATTCTGTGAAGATAGGCGTCTGGGTGTCGCTGTCCATTTCATCTGATCCTTCAGACCCTAAGCATTAAAAACCCCAAGGCAGGGAAGAAACTAAATCCACATTTTTAATCTGACGGGCCATGCAACACAGGCCGCATCCCCGAGGTGGCGCAACAGAGCAATCGAAACATCCCGGATCCGCACGATAAACAAACATTTCAGCGCGATTTAAGAAGCGGGGATGCTTTTCCCAGATTGATAACATACTCAAAGATTTATCAAGGCGTCGCTTTTTTTCTCTCTTCTCCTCTCCCCCCCCCCAATCCCCATTTCTTCTCATATTAAAGGGTTCCGCAACAGTAAAGCGACAACCCAATCAGGTTGAAGCCTTTTTTTGCAAATTACTTTGTGTGTATGAGATAAATTGATACAAAAAGTATTATTTGGAAGCTCGGGTGCCCTGCAGCGGGAGCACAAACACACTTAAGCAAGAACATCTAACTAATCTTCCGATTACTCTCGCTCCCCCCTCCATCATGCAACTCCAAAGGAGTTATTAACCCTTTTGTTTCAAGACCGTCTCCGGGGTGGGTTTCCAGCTGCCAGCAGCGAGATTTACATGTGGAAACATCACCTCCAACGCGCGTCGCCCCCCCAGCCCCGCGCCAGCTCCATCCTAACCAGATGCACAAAGGAAAAACAGTCATGCATTAAACATGGGATTTATAGCCTTCTCGCTAGCTCGCCCGTTTTCTTAAATCACCATTAACCGGGCTCAACAACTGCACATTTGGACTCAAAAGAAAGAGGGAGGCTGAACGGGAGGGGGAAAAAAAAACCCTCAAATCTTCTGCAGCTCTCACCCACCCTTTCCAAAATATGCATTCCTATCCATTGGGATGGCGGATAATTGATCGAAATCTTCACCTTCTCCCCCTCTGGCTTGCTTAAAATTAAAAGTTGACCTAAAATTGCACCCCAAAGTTTGCATTTATGCCTCTGGAGCGGGGGGGGGGAAGAGAGAGAGAGATCAAAAGAAATCTTGGGAGAGGCGAATCGATTAGGGAAATACCTTAGACCCAAGTTTCCAATATCTATTTTAAAGTACTAAATTTCTCTTTTCCCCCCCCTCCCCCTCCCCCCGCGTCCGAAACTACAAAGCTCAGGACTGTATGCTACATTGATTAAGTGTCTTCCCTTCCTGGTGGGTTCATTCGTCTCCCATGCACGCGCACACACACACACACACACCAAAAAAGGATGGATCATAGATCTGAAATCCTGTTTTCCAAAACCTTGGATATTTCCAATATCGCCGTCTCAAATTCAGCGCACCATCCCGATATTTACCCCGTCCCCTTTACGTTTCGTCCAGTCCTGCGCTTTTACCACCAACTGCTTCTCTTCCAGTGCCGGCTCCCCCTCCCCATATCAAAATCAATTAAATCTGCGAAAAGATCAAGCCATGCTATCAATTGTGGGAGGGAGGGAGGGAAGGAAGGAGGGAGGGGGGGAAGAGAGAGAGAGAGAGGGGTGGTGGTGGTTCCATGCAGCTACTTCGGGAAGATTTTAAAAGCTCTCTGTCCTCCCTCCCTCTCCCCCCCCCCCACCATATTAGCTCACGGGAGTTATTTTAGGAAGTCGGAAATCAAAGATGGCTGGAGGTCAGGCTACAAAAGGTCCCGAGTGATTGTAATCTCTCGGCCAGTTTTTAGTTACTAAAAGGGAGAAGCAGCAGTTACATCCCAATAGAGGCACAAACGGGGGGGGGGAGTTGGTAATCACAAAAGGTATTTCGCAGTGTTCCTCACGGCGTACCCCTCCCTTCCAAAAATATTTAGGGAGTTACCTTCTGGCCGCGGCTTTCGGCTACGATGGCTCCAAATCAATCCTGGAAAAGTGGGGGGGGGGGGGAGATGCTAAAGACAACCTACATTTACGGGGTGAAAAACTTTTCCCAACCGGAAAAGAGGGGCTTTGGGGAAAAGGAGAATGACCCACTAAGAAAACCTGGAATTTTTTTTTTTTTCCCAGAAAGAAAAATAGTCGTGAGTTCAGAGTTCAGTTCCCCCCATAAATTAAAATTTACTCGAACCTAGATTCAGCACGGATTGATGAAGGGACAGGGAAAGAAGGGGGGGAGGAAACATTTAGAAGTTATGTATATATATATATCAGAAGATATCTATAAGATATATATATAATATATATATACACTTTCCGATCGGCTCCCGCAGTCGTGGGAAATCAGGATGAAACAGAAGTGGTCCAGATGATCGAGAGGGTCCGTTTGGCTCAGGATTCCGGCCAAGGAACCCCGATGCGCCACGGGGTAGGTGGGAGAAAGAGCCACTCACACGCGCACAAAAGCAAGCGACCCCCCCCCACCCCCGCCCCAAACCCGATCTCCTGCTTGATTTCTTTTTTCCCATCAATTAAAGTTGGTAATTGACCGGCGCTCCCTCGCTCCTTTCCCTTACCATTCGCTACATCCGGGAACTGCCGCTCGTCCGAATGGATGTGCTGGGGCTTCGCTTGCTTGCGCCTCGACATGGTGCACACGCATCGGGAGCAAAATAGTAGCAATTATTTTCTTCTTCTTCTTCTTCACAACAAATTCCTGGAGTTGGGAAATTACTCCCAAAGAGCGGAATGCGCATGTCAGAGTAATTATGATTATCAATAATGCATTGCGATTTATCATGGGTCCCTGACAGCTGATTGGCCTGAGTCCAAGAGCTCACAGATTATTCAAATAAGGTCCATTGATCAGGGAGCAGAAGGGGACGCTGGGCACTGTAGTCTCCCTCGCCCGCTCCTGTCCGCCCGGCTCGCCCGGCTCGCCCGGCTGATTGAAGGGTGGACGCCGGACGCCGCTGCCGCCACCACCGCCGGGCAGGCGAGGGGTTTCGCGCAAGAGGCCGGTGGCCCGATTGGGTGGTATTGCCCTGAAGAGGAGAGAGAGGGGAAAAAAGCCGAAGAGCAGCTCTCGAGTCCATCTTTGAAAGTAAACAAACAGCCGGGACAGAACTGGTTTTCTTAGGCAGGCTGGACAAACACCCCCCCCCCCGCCGCCTCCCTTATCTCCCCGCACATTGTCTTTTGCCTCCGTGGAGAAGTTGGGGAGGTTTGGTCCGGGCGCGCGTGGAAAGGATCCTGAAAAGCATCCCCACCCTCCCCCGTTACACTAAGGAAAACCACGTTTTTTTCCCCCAGTCCTCTCTCAGGGAAAGCTTTCGTGCAAACTTATCCCTTGGTTCTTTACTCAAAAAAAAAAAAAAAAGGAGGAGGTTGAAAAAAAGGCTGGCTTCAAAGATTTACTTGGCAATCAGAGCCCTCGAGTTGGAGAGAAAAAAGAAACGGAAAAGGGGGAAAGGGTGAAATCACTACTGGGCATTGAGCTAATGCGTTTTTTTTAAAAAAAAAAAAAAACAGTGAAAATTGCTTTTTTTAAATTGGATTTTCTACGTGTGAGGGAGAGGGGAGCTCATTTCTGGACTGCCAAAAATCCGGAGTGCCACTTGATGGCAGAAGGGAGGATGGTGAAATCTGGCTTGGCTGCCACCTGGTGGTCGTCCAGATGTGTGCTGCCCAGATGCGGTTAGCTCAGGGGTAGGCAACCTCGGCTCTTTTATGACTCGTGGACTTCAACTCCCAGAATTCCTGAGTCAGCTATGCTGACTCAGGAATTCTGGGAGTTGAAGTCCACGAGTCATAAAAGAGCCGAGGTTGCCTACCCCTGGGTTAGCTCTAGGCTTGCAGGTTCTTTGGCTTATTTGCCTTGAAAGGGAGGTGGATTTTCACTTTGAGAAAGAAGGAAAAAGGGTTACAGAGGAGCTTGAAGCCTGCGTGAATCCGACAATCCGGTTTCAAGCAAATGTTCAAGATAAGATGGTCCTTGGGGGATAAAGGACAAGCTTCTTAAGATTCCCAAACTGTGAATGGATTACCTTGTAAAAGGTCGCAAATACAATTCTCCCCTATGACACAGAACATACAGCCTTTATACAGGCTGTATTTCCATAATGGGCTTTATCCAAAGTTAACCAAACTGTGCTTTTATTGAGTTAACCCACTATTCTTAGTTTGTGCGACCCCCTGAATTGGATTCATCAAAGTTTTTTCGTGAATTGCTTTTTGGTATCAAATAGTACATTCAACCCAGCAAATCACAAAAATCATAAACTAATACAAAAAACTTAACTGGGTGTGAGTATGTGAAATTTGTGATTGCTTTGAGTGTCGGGTATAAACTATGCCATGGAATTCTAAACCAGCCTCCTAGCTGGGTTCACACAACACCCTAGTATCAAATAGGTTTGACAAGTTTGGGGTTCAGCTTGCTCCAATGGAGGACAAAATTAATAGGAAGCACATATATATTCCTCTTGAATGGCAAGATGTTTTGCAGACAGTGGTCACAATAGACAACATTAATTTATTTTGTGTTTAAGTAGTTCACACATGCCAGCACAAGCAAACAAGCTGCACTAACTATGATGATATCTGGACCAAACCAGTGTTTTAGTTAGACAAAGATTGAATCCATGCCCCTGGTTTTGGCTAACTAGTTGCTACTGCCCTTCTCTAACCTAGTTCACACTTTCCACTAAGTCTTAAAGTGGTTTGTTTGAGTTTGGCTTAAGATGCTGTGGTATATTCAGTGTGTGTGCACCTTCAAGTCAGATCTGAGTTCTGACATTGCCTGGACAAGTCCCTGCAATTTTTTTAGCAAGATTTTGGAGGTGGTTTGACATTGCCTGCTTCATAGGGCTGAGCGAGAGTGACTGGCTCAAGTCACCCAGCTGGTTTTATGCCTAAGTCAAGACTTAGTTTCCTGGTTTCTAGCCTGATGCCTTAATTACTATATTAACTGGTTCTCATTCATTAGGGGACAGTTAAAAAACTGGTTTGCTGCAATGTGTGAACCTAATCATTCTCAAAACTGGCAGACACAGGAGAATTTGATAACCTATATAAGGCCATCTAGCAAGTCCACATAGCACTTTTAATCATATGTTTGTTACTCCTTTTCTAAACTCAATACTCATCTTTAAAATTCCTATCTAGCAAAGTTTTTTTTTCTTAGTCAATTAAGGGCTAAGAGATTTTGTTTAAAAAGTTGCAAATGAAATACAGCTGAGATAGCTGATAGTCTAAAATATACAGTATAAGTAAAATTCAAGATAATTATGGTTGATTAGAAAAGTGTGAGTAGCTGCTAATGCAAAGTCATTTATTCACTGCTTCATTTATGTAACTTGCCTTCAGTGCTATTTGAAACATTGAAATTAACTGTAAGTGGCTTACAAAATTAAGTATTTCTGTATCTCAAGTATGTTGTAGATTTTGCCTAACATATTAAGAAAAGTTCAGAATAATTGAAATGAGTACAAAGAAAACAAAAGATTATTGCAAGGAACTGAGTATATTTAAATCTTGAGGAAAAGATGACTGAAGGGAGAGAGCACTTTAAAGACGCTAAATGCAGGAGTCTTCAAACTTGGCCCTTTTATGACTTGTGGACTTCAACTCCCAGAATTCCTCAGCCAGCACGTCTGGCTGAGGAATTCTGGGAGTTGAAGTCCACAAGTCATAAAAGATTGAAGACCCCTGTGCTAAAACGATGCGACATAGAAGGTTAACATCTGATGTCTATCATTCTAGAGGGCAGAAGATGGAGTAATGGTTTTAAGTTACAGTAAGACGGATTCTGATCGAATGTTATAAAAAGCCAGCCAGCCATAAGCACAACTCAACAAAGGAATCAATCTCCAAGGGAGATAATGAACCTTCTCAGTCAATGAGCTCAAGAGAAACTGGGCAGCTGTCTGTCCTGCAATGAGCAGGGGTTGGGCTCGCTGAGTGAAATGGCCCCTCACAACCTAATTCCAATCAGGTTTTTTTTTTTTAAAAAAGGCTTGTTGAATTTCTTATTGCAGTGCAAAGAGAAACAGGAATTGGTCTGACAGGGACTCTGGGGAATTGTTTGTTGAAAATGCTTTAATTTGAATCTGTGCGTTAAGGAAAGAACTGGAGTGAACAGCTTAAGTGGCTCCCAGCATTCTACAATTCTAAGGAGTTCATCCAGCAAACCATAACAGAAAAAGTGGAGCTTGAGCCAATGGTGGGATTCAAATATGTAAACAACCTTTTCTCTGCGTGGATGCCGCTTCCGGAAGTCCATTCTGGGCCTGGGCAACAAAAAATTAGCTACTGGTTCTGCTGAAGTGGTGTGAACTGGCTGAATTCTACCACTGGCTTGAGCTAGAATATAAGGCAAATTTTGTCCAATGGGTACTTAATAATTCTTTTTTTAAAAAAAACTTTAGGTATGGGTTTATCAGTGCCAATAACTCATTTTTTGGTTGTGTGCATGACATTGTCCATAAAATGGCTGAACTCCTTAGAATGGGCAAAAATGCAACATAAACTACAAGGCTACTAGTTTAATGATAAGTAATACAGGTAGTCCTCGCTTAATGACCAGCCACTTGGTGACCTTTTGGTGTTACAACAGACCCTCCCCCCAAAAGGTACTTATGACCTTTTGAAATTCTCATGTCCACCCCTCCCACAATCATGGGATTGCATTTTGGAGGCTAGCAAACAACTCATATTTGCAGCCATTTGTAATTTATGTTGTTGTTTTTTATCAGAAACTGGCATTAACTTCTACTTTCTACCCATGGGCTAAAATGATTTTGCTTAACAATGGTGGTGTTTGCTTTATGACCATGGGGTTTACTTAATAACTATGGCAAAAAAGACATAAAATTGGATTGATCATGTGATGTCCCACTTAATGACCAGCATGACTTATGATCATAATTTTGGCCTCAGTTACAACCATAAATCGAGGACTACCTATGTAGTTGCAAAATATGTCAATGTAAAATAATTATTTTCCATACCTCCCAGAAAGTTTATTTTCCTTAGAGATGCAGTCAAAACTTACATTCAGTTGAATTGTTTTACATTCAGAAACATGTTCACATACATTTCCTTTACTTTTATACTAATATACCAAATGTGCATGTCAAAATACTTGAAGGACAAATAACAATTCTGAATAATGTTAACTGGGCTTAAAATTGGTTCTTCCACAATAAGCACAGAAATAATCTAGTTGGAAAGGCCTGGATCCAAATCCCTGTTTATAATGCATAAGCGTTAAATCAATCAAACATGCATCATTCCCTATGACATAGCTTATATTTGTGTTTAAATTCTAGAACACTGATGCATTGAGTAAGACTAAGGGGATAAAAGTTGAATAGAATTACTCTGAAGTAAATGGCTTGAGGAATTTTGCACTGGGATGTGATTATTAGTATGGACTAGCATTACAGATTAATCCAAGGTTCAGCTACAATCTACTTACCTGGGAATAGCTGAATTTAGTTGAATATAATTGGATTTACTTCAAAGTAAATATAGAAAACAGCTCTCATTTTATTTCGAGTAAGTCAAATTAAGTTTCCAGCTTCAGGTAATACTTTGTGGTGAAAAGGCTTACAAATTTAGACAGTAATTTGTCATACAAGTAGTAA